TTTATTAAATAAGTAGTTTTGAAAACTGTTTACTCTCTCCACAAGCATTTTTTGGGAGCCTGCTGTGTTTGCAATCACACAGTTAGAAGTTTAAAATCTATCAGTACAACAAAAGGAAAGACATTTTAAAAGATCACACAATGAAGTAAGTGCTTTATTAGACAAAAGAAATGTGGTTGAGGGTAAAGCAGTGGGAAAAAAAAGTTTCAATTTGTGATCTTGAAAGCTGGGAGGAATCTTCAAGAAGGAGGTCGAGAGGAAGGGACAGGTTACAACGTGAAGAAATGGTTATAAACTGAGATGCAGAGAGAAAAGCAGGGGCCTGGATGGTTGGGGTGTGTGAATTAATCACTGAAGGTAGAAGACGATCAAATACCTTGTGTGCTGGTCTGAGGGCATTGTCAGAGGTTCACGCTGCAGTGCCCAGCAATCCCAATGTGAGGTGGAGGTTACAGTGAGTCAAGATCGCGCCATCACACTGCAGCCTGGGTGAAGAAGCAAGATTTTGCCTCCAAAAAAAAAAAGTCTCGTCATTTGTTCTTCCATGATTTCTGCATATCTTTGTCCTCCATCCAAAAGATTTCTGATGTAACATACCTGCATCCTTGATGTTGGTTAGGTGACATAAATAGAAAAGTAAAACTCAAGAAATTATAGTACTAAGGACAGCAACAGTAAAATGTTACTGTGTCTTGTACAGCTACTCAGAAAAGGATCTACCATGCGTGAAGAAACAGATTAATGTAATTCAGATCATGTGCAGCTATATTTGTAGCTCTGCTAAGGGAACGTAGGCACATCTGCATACGAACATAGCCATAACCTGTGTAAATACTAAAATACAATTCAGGTATTTCATTTTATTCTCTCCTCACTTCAATTTTAGGTGAGAATACCAATTCAGTTCTCCAAACCTCAAATTCCCTTTTCCTGAAAAATATTATATGATTGTGGACACAATTTTTTTGTGCAAAGTCTTCATGGTGTGCGAATTGGACTACATTGTGTTTGCACGCATATAATCTAAAAGAGCACAGGAGCAGCAGCTGTATCTCTGACTTCTGTCTGACTTTGCTCCTGATGACAGCGTGACGGGGCTGGTTAGTGATTTCCAGGTTCCCTGCGGGGTGGATAGAAAACATCATACAGGGAAGAGCACTTTCCCTCCAGAGTCTTCCCCAATAGGTGACCAAGTAACTTTTCTTGATGACATGAAGACAGACGATAAAATAAAGATTGATCGTTTTTATGCGTTTAATTATAGTTGGAGATGAATTGATTTTATCAGTTTATGTAACATATGCAGAATTTAGTATAAAGACTACTGAGAGCTTTGGATATAAGATGTCTCAGTTTTACATAAAATGTTTTAAATTCATTCAGTGAAGTTCTTCATGAAACTTTGAGAAGTTACTGCATCAGTTCTCACTGATCCAGTCATAGATCAATGGAAGGTTATCAATGCATACCTTCCGAATTCAGGATGCCTCCATCCTCTGCTGTTTTTCTTCCCACGACATGGTGCACTGGCGTCAGTTTCCTCTGTGGAAGCCTATGTCTGCGTTCACTGCACTGTGATCTCATGTAGCTGTGGTCTCCCTTCTGTCCCTCGCTCAGCCCTCCTCCATGGACTCCAGACCTGTGTGTGTCCAGTTCAATATGAACCATTGCACATGCAGGCTAGCAGACATGGAGCTTCAGTATTCACAGCCGAGTGCCCACTTTACTCTTATAACCTGACTCTCCTAAGTCTCCTTCGCCTGTGGTTATGTCACTCTCAGGCTGTCAACTCGCAGTAACCCCCAGCTCCTCCTGTTTTATCACAATGCCCATGTTGCATTCATGAGAAAGTCCTATGCTCTACTGTCAAGACACAGCTGGGTTCAGACCATGTCTTGCCATCTTGCTGCCAGTGCCCTGGTTTGGGGTCCTGACTGCCTTCCTCCCTGCCACCCCTGTGTATTCTCTCATAGCAGCCTCAGGAGCAGGGCTAAGCTCCAGGTAGATCATGAGATTCGTGTCCTTTCCTAGGCCGGGCCATCCAGTGCCCCTTCATGTCATGGAAAGAAATGTGCAACCCTTACAAGGACCTGTGAGCCACTGAGGTGTCCTTTTTGTTCCCTACCCCTGCGTGCCCACTGCAGCGTAAGCCCCAGACCTAGCCCCTTTCTCTCCACCCAAATTATTCCCCAGGTATTTCGTGTTTTCCTTGTCTTTCTCAAGTTCTTATTTATAGACCACTTCCTAAAGGCAGCACCCCTGGCCACCCGCAAGCCTCAGACCATCCCATCCCATCCCTCCTCTATCTCTGTTTTCTTCACAGCCCTGTGTCATCTCCCCGACTGCGCATCATCTGCACTTTATACTGTTAGGAGCTTGATTCTGTCCTTTCCAGTTGGAATGCATACTTTACAAGGGCAGATACGTTATCTCTCTTATTATGAGTGATCCCTGATGCAAGGGACAGGGCCTGCTCAATAGCAGCTGCACAATAACTATTTGAATACATTCATTTCACGTAGGATGTACAGTGTTACCCCTTTTACAGTGAAATGTGCAGTCACTGCAATCTTAAGAGGTAAAAATTCCATGACAAATTCTTAGAATATTCTAAAACTCATTTTAAAAATTTATATTTTATATCATGCTTCCCATGAGGTTTACATACTAAAGAGATGATCTGTTCCCTTAAGATGCATGATGAGTGAGCATGATGAGGCTTGTCACATCTTTCATAGATTATATCATTCTTTTGTGAATATTATTCGTGGAAGTGGCTTTTATAAAACATAATTCAGAATGATCATAGTAATTGGAAGACGTTATTCTGGGGATCATTTACTTCATGATAGTTCTTCTTGCCTAGTTCAAGAAGGAAGTATAAATACATATGCACAGAATGGGGACATGTTTTAAAAATGCAAAGGAATCTTGTGAAATGAACAGTCAGTTGTGACATTGAGTGATGTTTTGCTTGTGAGACACTATTGTGAGCTTTTTACATGTATTCACCTATTTCATTATTCAGCAAGCAGGAATGAGCTGTGATTTTCGCCCCCTTTTACACATGAGGCTGTGGAAACACAGAGGAGTAGAGAAAGTAATCAAATTATAAGCAGATGTATTAGTCAGTGTGCTCCAGAGAAATGGAACCAAGATTTATTGCAGGAATTGGCTCATGTGATTGGGAGGCCAAGAAGTCCCAAGATCTGCCCTCTGCAAGCTAGAGACCTAGAAAAGCCAGTGGCATGACTAAGTCTCAGTGCAAAGACCTGGGAGCTAGGGGAGCTGAAGGTGTGTGTCCTGGAGTCTGATGGTTCAAGAACCGGGAGCACTGAAGTCTGGGAACAAGAGAAGACGGATGCCCCAGCTCAAGAAAAGAGAAAATTTCTCTTTACTCTGCCTTTTTTTTTTTTTTCCGAGATAGAATTTCACTCTTGTTGCCCAGGCTGGAGTGCACTGCAACCTCTGCCTCCCTGGTTCAAGCGATTCTCCTGACTCAGCCTCCCGAGTAGCTAGAATTATAGGCGCGTGCCACCATGCCTGGCTAATTTTTAGCATTTTCAGGAGAGATGGGATTTTGCCATGTTGGCCAGGCTGGTCTTAACCTCCTGACCTCAGGTCATCCACCTGCCTCAGCCTCTCAAAGTGCTGAGATTACCAGTGTGAGCTACCGTGCCCGGCCTTTTCTCTGCCTTTGTATTTGGTTCAAGCCCTTGGCAAATTGAATGATGCCAGTTCACACTGGTGAAGGCAAATCTTCACTCAGTCCACTGATCCAAACGCTAATCTCTCAGGGCAGTACCCTCATAGACAAGCCCAGTCTCTTACCAGCTATCTGGGCAGCCCTTAGACCAGTCACGCTGGCACATAACCTTCACCGTTGCAGTGGAGACACTGCAGTGAGGGTGGGCAGCCTGGTTCCAAGGTCTGAGCGGGTGACATCCACGGGCCTGACAACTGCAGGTGGAGCAGTTCCAGGAGAAGGCCGAGACCCGGAGCACTTGGCGACTCTCAAGACACATGGCTGTTTGCAGAACATGAACGGCGATTGCCTTTCCTGCCTCTGTCCCGTGGCTCTGGTGACTGTTCCCTTTTGTTCTTTTTCATTTCAGTGCTTCCATTCATAGGATAGCCTGAGAGGTCTTCAGATAAGAAACAAAAGAACGTTGGCGGGATCATGTCACTGTTCTCCTCTTCATGTTTGTAAAATTAGGGCATATAGAGTCTATTCAAAGTGTTACATTATTGATACCTTAAGAATGGAATTCCTGTTAGCAACTCTCAGTAGATAATGTTTCAATCAGTATCTACCAGTAGGTACCATTTGAATCATTTAGTATCTATTACACACTGTAAATTGCGTTCTGTGGTGGCAGTCATTGCAAACACCTGTGCATGAGCTGGGTTTTGTCATGATTTCTATTTTCAAGATATGAGAAATGTAAAAGATTGAGAGACTTGCCAGAGATCACAGAGCTAGTGAGTAGCTGAGCCAGCCTTTGACCTCGTAACTCTCTGACGTCAGAGTTGAGGGCTTAAGCTCCCATATTCTGCTGACACCCTAATCGTTGCTACTTTCCCATTGAAATGATTATGTGTAACTTTATTTTCCTTTCTTTCAAAATGAATGTCTGAAATGAGTGTTTGAACATGGCGTGGTTTGTTGAGGGGTTTGAAGAAGGATCAGCAGCTCTCGGGAGTGCAAACCTGCACCATTTTTACAGTTCTGCCGGCTTGTTACTGCAGGTTCCACTTCTCCTGCTGTGCCTTTTTCTGTGTTAGGTTTTCAAGGTTTTGTAGTGGTGAGAATGCCTGCATATATACCGGCATATTATATTTGCAAGTAAAATAAAGCTCAGGTGTTGCTTGTTTTTTTCTTGGATATGACATTAGATCTTTCAATCCTTGTGAAAATTCCCCGCCATTTAACCAGTATTTGGTTCTGGCTCTCATTGTGAAACCTTAGTGTTAAAATCATCTCTCTTTGTTATTTAAAGCCCTGTGTGGAGGCTACATCCATGGGAAGAGCGGAACAGTCCTTTCTCCTGGATTTCCAGATTTTTATCCAAACTCTCTCAACTGCACGTGGACCATTGAAGTATCTCATGGAAAAGGTAAGAACCTGCCGTAGATCTCAAACACACAGATGAATAAATGAGACAGAAACATGAGAACAAAGCAAAAAACATACTTCAGTATTAAAAAGTGAGACAGCTACTTTTCTCATGCATAGTTCAAAATTTTAACTTATTATTTAATAAGATTTTGGAAGACAAATGTTCTTTCAGCTGCACAGTACAACCTGATTCCTCGTTTTGCTGTCCATTTATCAGATAACCTGAAAGTATACTTGTGAATATAAGCTTGAAAGTAGGTCTCGTGGTAAGGAATACAGGCATCTATTAAATAAAATGTGACTGTTGATTAAATAAAGAGAAATAAGCAATTGTCTAACTTCTAATTTCCATGATAAATCTTAGACAATTTTTGTGCTTTCTTTCTGTTTTATGTTTTCCCGGTATTGTCTCACATAATAATTTATCTTCATACAATCTAGGGATGTCTCATAGAATAAATATTTTTATCGTCATTTTATAGATAAATATAGTGAAGACCAGGACTTTTTGCATTTTGTGCAGGAAATGTAGATTATAAACACTGGGTTTAGGATTATAACCTCAATCTTTTTTCTGTGACTAAACTTGTCATTTTTTAAGCATCTGTTTGGGGTTGGATGCAGCGGCTTATCCCTGTAATTCCAGCACTTTGGGAGGACGAGGCAGGCATAACTCCTGAGGTCAGGAGTTCCAGACCAGACTGGCCAATATGGTGAAACCCTGTCTCTACTAAAAATAGACAAAATTTGCCAGGCATTGTGGCACATGCCTGTTAATTCCAGCTACTCTGGGGACTGAGGCAGGAGAATCGCTTGAACCCAGGAGGTGGAAGTTGCAGTTAGCTGAGATTGCGTCACTGCACTCAGCCTGGGAGACAGAGTGAGCCTCTGTCTCAAAAAATAAAATAAAAAAGAGTCTGTTTGGCATTTCGATCACATAAGTATTACGTAGACTTTGTCTTTTCACATATATTAAATGGACCTATTTTATTATGTATATATATTGTGCGGCACTGTGCAACCATGAAGGACCTGACAGAAGAGCTTGCCCTGAAATTAAGCATAAAGAAGACACAGATTATGAGTGACCAAAGTTTTGTCATCATAAAAATACACATTTATTAGAAATTATCTATTCACAGTTAATTTTATTAATTTCGCTATAGGAATCCAGAAATAAGACTTTTTGGTTCTGGTTCTATTAAGTGCCTTGGGGGTGTCTGAAATTACATTTTCAAGGAAGATTTTCCTCAGTTATGCTGACTTCCAACTAAGACTTTTTTTTTTTTTTTTGGTAGGGGGGACACTGTCTTGCCCTGTCGCCCATGATTGATTGTGATGGCGTGATCTTGGCTCACTGCCTCCTCTGCCTCCCAAGTTCAAACGATTCTCTTGCCTCAGCCTCCAGTGTAGCTGGGATTACAGGCACCCGCCATTTTTCTATTTTTAGTAGAGACAGGGTTTCACCGTGTTTGTCAGGCTGGTCACAAACTCCTGACCTCGTGATCCATCTATCTTGGCCTCTGAAAGTGCTGGGATTCCAGGTGTGAGCCACTGTTCCTGCCCCAACTAAGATTTTCTGAAGGATACTTGTTTAGTGTAAATCAAAAAATTGTCTGGTCTTTTGTCCCTCTGGGATAAATACTGTCCCTAAGGATCTACTGACAATTTTTGAATGGAACCCATTATAAACATTTTGACCTATTTTTTTAAAATATTTGAATCTACATCTGTATATGTATCTATAGCTACATCTATAATCTCCATATGTACCTCAATATTCATATCCACATCATATCTTCATATTTACATCATATCTCTACTTATATGCACCTACGCATTTATTTTCATTGTTTATCCCCTCTGCTTTCTTTTATTTCTAAAGCCATCCTCTTTCTACCCATTTTCCTCTTCAACTTCAAAGTTAGATTTACATATTAAGATAATATGTTAATATTTAGATTCAATACTTTGATGTGTCTAAGTCCAGAAAAAATTTTTCAGCAATTGTTACTTCTAACCTGTCTCTTTTTCTCTCTCTCCTCCACATCTCTCTCTGTCTCTCCTCTCTCTATCATCTGTGTCTTTGTGTCTCCTACTCTCTGGATTCTGTCTCCCCCTCTCTTTTTCTATCTCTTCTTCTCTATTTCTGTCATGTCTGTGTCTGTGTCTCTCTCTGCATCTCTCTCTCTGTCCCTGCCTCTCCCATGTCTCTCTCTCTCTCTCTCTCTCTCTCTCTCCCCCCTCTTCCATTCTCAGGAGTTCAGATGATCTTTCACACTTTTCACCTTGAGAGTTCCCATGACTATTTACTGATCACAGAAGATGGGAGTTTTTTGGAGCCAGTCGCCAGGCTCACCGGGTCGGTGTTGCCTCATACGATCAAGGCAGGCTTGTTTGGCAACTTCACCGCCCAGCTTCGGTTTATATCAGACTTCTCCATTTCCTATGAGGGCTTCAATATCACATTTTCAGGTATGTTGGTCTTGTTTGCGCTTTGTCTCCTGTGGCAACAATACTGCCATTTCTCTTAGTGAGAATATAAGAGTGTGAGTGTGTAATGTGTACATCACTGCGTTTGTGCATGTGTGACTACAGGCATGTATCCAACCAGTGGGGTGCAGGAAGCTGAGCCTCCACGAGGCAGGGTGCCAACACAGTTATATGGCATCCAGAAAATGCTGCTTTGTGTTCTGCAGTTTGTGCTTGCTCATCTTTGAAAAGTCTGTAAATGTCACTACCTTCTGCAAAGCACTTCCTACTCGATTATCTTCACCAGTTCTAGAAAATCTCAGAGGAAAGTTGTCTCACTGGGAGGTGTCCTCAGGGTCAGTTGTCACCCAATTGCAATGATTTCTGCCCTCTAGTAGGTGCCAATATTTGCATTGATAGCCACCTCTAGGATGAAGGAAGCATGTGAATATGCACAGTCGAGGATGAGCTTGTAGTTTCATATATTCACACAGTGACAAAAGTACTCTAAGTTAGGTCACATCTTTATTTTTAATGATAATATATAGGTCATATCTGCATAAGGTCATGTTACAGCAGAAATTATTTGTATGGCTTAGATTGTTTAATTTGTATATTTCTATGACACAGATGCTAATTATTTTGACAGATAAGAAAAAATTACCCCCACTTAAAAACTGGCCAAATATGTGAGAGAGAAAGTTGGTCACATAAAAAAATGATGCTCAGTCACACTCAGAACCTCTGCAATATCCTCATTACCAACATACCCCCACCCTCCACCAACAGAAAGGGCCCTGCTTCTCCACAGCTGTCCATGGATGGAAGCAACACATGGACTTGCATTTGCGCACATGATGCTTTGGACAAAGAGTGTTTTCATTCCTTACTCCTCATAGCCCAGATCCAGTGTAATTTTCATAAGGTGGTCCCTGGTATGACAGTCATATGTGATTTCTTCTACTTTTGAGATCCCATAAATTCCTTAATAACTTTTGATGTCACTTATGAGATTATATGTTGCAGTATTTGAGTATTTATTTATCTTCTCTCCCAAACTGAAAGTAAGAATCTTGGTAGAAAGTTGGCTTGTCCCACGTTCATATAAACAGCTCTACTGCTGTACTTACTCATAAGTAAGATGAGTTACTCATAAGTAAACTGTTTTCGACTGTGTGAGGGTTGACGCCCCTAACCAGTGTATTATTCAGGGTCACCTGTTCTTGGGGTGTATTGAATAACACACAGGTTTTGGCGTCAACCCCTGTGCAGTGGAAAATCTGAGTATAACTTTCGAGGCCCCAAAACTTAACTACTAATAGCCTATTGTTGACCAGAAGCCATACAAGGACGGAAACAGTTAACACATAAATAAACCAGTATCTACATTTGTTTTGTGCTTTCATGATATACCTAACATTTTACTAATTGTTAAAATATTTCTTGATGACATAGTTCACCTGCATGTGTTTTTAGGTTACCGCAAATCTCCAGACAATTGCCAATGTATTTATCGAAAACAATTTATGTATAAATGGACTCAAGTAATTCAAACACACATTTTTCAAGAGTCAACTGTAATAAGAACTTCTTAATTACTACTGTGTGATGATTAACATTATGTAGAATAAAATATTGTCTTCAAGGAAAATATTTCTTGGGGATTTTAAGATGCTCTGAACTATTTTATGCTTTGTCTAATTCTACCTAGTTGTGATTTATCTTAATCTGACTTTGTTGATTTTTCTTGGTATTTCACTGCTCGAGTGAAGCTTTCAGGACTGTCACAGACCACTTGATTTCTTGGAAATTTAGTGTAATCAGCAGTAATCAAGAAACTTGCCACTTTATATATCAAAGACTTCAATTTCCCCAACACTAATTCCTCAATCCCTCTCTCTGTTCATTCTCCCCTGGTGTATCTCAATTAGTATCACTATGAGAATATCACTACCCTCTGTTTTTACTTTCATCATGATCCAAAATGAATTTAAATAGACTTCTCCAAAGAAAGAAAGTGGCAGTGAGGCGAGTCTGTTGTTCACTTCTGCAGGTGTTTCCCTGGAGTCCATGCAAATTCTTTTCATTTTACTGCATCAGTTTCTTATTCCGATGCCCTCAGCACAGGGCTGACAATAAGTCTTTTGATAACTCCCGTCTTAGTCTGTTTGTGCCGCTTGCCATAACAGAATACTTGAGACTAGGTAATTTATAAATAATAGCAATTTTTTTCCTCAGTCCTGAGGCTGGAAATTCAGGCTGGAAACAAGATCAAGGTGCTTGTGTCTGGGGTGAGCCTTCTTGCTGTGTGTCATCACATGGTAGAGGGTATAGTTTCAAAAGAGGAGGATCGCCATATTCTCCTGTGGTAGAAGACCGGAAGTCCTTTTATAATGATTTTAATCCATTAGTGAGGGTGAATCCCTCCTGACCTAAACAGGCTCCCCCAAAAGGGGATCAAATTTCCAGCACATGGATTTTGTGTAACACACTCAGACCATACATATAACCAAAAGTCAGAATGTAACTATACAGCTCACACTCTCATTATAAACTACTTACACAGACAAGCAAGCCAGCAACAACGAAATACTCTTTCATGGGTGTAACAGTCTGTAAACATTTAGAACAATTCAACATAACCAATAGAAAATAATACATAACACTTGCAGAAGAAATCAGTTTCATCTAGACAGTTGCACACAAGCAGAAAGTCTTTTTAAAAACAGAAGACAACAGCTTTTGTAATCAAAAAGTTGACTTTAAAGTAAACAAGTTCTCTAGCTACGTTAGAGGAGTAATTTCATTTGGAACAATTTTCGCTTTAAAACTGGCTGCAAATGATTGCCAGTGACATGGAGTTTATTTTCTAAGTATACAAATAAGTAGCATCTTTATTATACAAATGAAGTATTTACTCATCCAGAGACTTTTTTTCTTATCATGAATGACATGAATATGCTTTTATGTCTGCCTTCTTTCCTGTCAGTTGAGTTTATTTCTGCCTTTCTCGGAAGGCTTTATTAAAGCAATATTTCCTGATTGTGTTTCCTAGTCGGTATTTCTGCGGATGGTAATGGTAATATTGTAGAAAAAGAGCTACATGTTCCTGTATGCTTAGATAAATCTGTGCACTCCATGTTCTACATAACGCCATCTACTACTAACAGTGTACACTGGGCCTTCCACACTTCCTTCCCCTCCTACAATGTGTCTAACTTCTTGAATGCTAACTTCTAGTGAATTAGCATCATTTCTCAGTCATTCTCTTTAAAAGGTTACAACTTGGACAACTTTGTGCCTTTACATACGTGGTTTCCTCTTCATGAAAATGCCTTTTCTGCATCTTTTACGAGGCAAAACTCCTCCTGTGTAGGTTAGAGGGTGTCTCTGACATGCAGCCTTTCTTCTTTTTTCTAAGCAGGATTCTTTTTTCTATATGACATAGGAGAAAAACGTTTTATAACAGCATTTTTATGCTGGTATAACCAAAGTTAGTTATTTCCCAAAATTGCTTTTCTGTGTTTGTCTCCTTCGATGGTACCATGAATTTTCAAATGAAGGTACTGTTTTTGTTGTTGAGTTGTGAGTACCTGAGATGGAGGAGAGTGTATTTATTCTTTAATTGCCGAGGCAGGTCTCCAACAGCTTGAAACTTGATTGTGAAGCAGAGAATGGGCAGGCCGGCTACTTTGGCTGGGCTCTCAGAAAAATGACTTGCAACAGGAGGACTGGGCCATGAAGTTAGGATAAAGAAGAAGGGCACTGCAGCCAGGCCCCTGAAACTGAGGGGAAAGTGGAAGGACATAAAGTTAGTTGTGGAGGCAGACAGCATAAGTGACTTGGATGTCAGTTGTGAATGTTGCATGAAGCCATTGGGTGCATTCGAAGAGCTTGACATGATCTGATCTTTTTCAATGTTTACTTAAAGGATAATGTATGACTCTCAACAAGAACAAGTTATATAATGATCCCAGAAGGAGATGCCAGATGGAAGCTCAGACTACAGGAAGGATGCTTGGGTAGAGCTGACTTGATTGGCAGGAAGCGAAGGTGTGGTATAAAATAGAGTGGGTCAAGGTTTTCACCCTGCGTGAATGAGGATGCTGTGTTTTACATGAAAAACACTGGGAGTAAAGCAGTTTGGGAAAGAAAATACAGACTTTTTTTCTTGGGGATATTGAGGGATGTATTCAAGAGTGATTGATGAGAGTGTTCAGTTCACATAATAGTATCATATTAAAGAAAAAGAAATACTGGAAAGTCATCAGAATACAGCATTAATTTCAATGTATGGAACAGCAGAAGACATGAATCAGCCAACTGAGAAGTTGGGGTCAGCGAGTTAGAAGGAAAGTGGCATCCCACAAGCAAAGAAAGGAAGCCCTTTTAAGGAAGAAGAGAGCGTTCAGCTGTTTAAAACCTGCTTAGTAAGATGGGGACTAGGAATTGACCATTGGTTTTGTATCTGGAGGTCACAGTGGCTTTGGTAAGATCTATTTGAGTGGAAGGCTATGAAGGAAACCTGAATAGATGAGATGAAGGAGCCTTGGAAGGGAAGATGGGAAAACGGAAGGTCCACCCAACACTTTGAAAAGTCTGTGCTAATGATGACCAGAGAGGTGGTGTGGTGGCTGGGGTGACTGTGAAGTCCAGAGGTTGGTTTCGTTTGTTTGTTTTATTGGTTGGTTTGGTTGTTCACCTCATTCTTAAGATCGACCCTGTAACACAGATTTTTATCTCGATGGAAATAAGTCAGGAGAATTGATGAAGGAAAAGAAAAAGCATAAACTCTGAGAACAAAATCTTAGAGTTGGTGAGAAGATGGAATTCTGAGGGGAATACACTTTTCTTGTGTTAGATGAAGATTGAAGTGTACACAGTGCAAATATACTTTGCATAATAATAATTATGTGACAGTAAATATAAGAGAATACTTATAAAGCCTGATCGAGATGGATACAACTAATACACACCCTCTAACCTCATGGTATCGTTTCGGGCCTTCTGTCTTTGTAAGCGCCTTTCAAAAGAAATTGTATAAACTGTGGAGTAAAAATATACACAAAGCAAAGAACCACAAGATCTTGGTGTTTCTTTGTATAAGATAATAGGTGTAGCATATACTAATACCAAATTATTATTCTATTTGGTGAGAGTTTTCAGTTTTTTTAAAGAAATGACAAGAAATGTATGGTTTGAATTGAGTGCACACGGTGTATCCTTAGACAGAAGGAGAATGATAACAGCAAGATGTGAGATAACATTCTCTGGATTGTGACATCTTTATTTTAGTATTTTCTAAAAACTAAAGGAACATATGATAGGTTGTCAATTAATGTTTGTTGAGTTCAATTAAATGACATTGTTTACATTATTTTCTTTCTGAGTCATAGTTTACATAAGTCAAATTAATAAGCATATCTCAAGGTTATAAAAATTAATTTGAACATATTAGAGACTCAGAGTTGACTGCTTATCTAACTTCAGAGCAAAACAGAGGTAATTCAGAAAGTATGCACCTCAGAGGTTTACTAGTAAGCTAAGTGAGGTGAAGGAAGTCTTTAAGTACAGAGTTCCATAATGAAGTTTTTATAAAAGTGTGTGTAAGAAATATCAATGACTAAGTCAGCAGATAAAAACTAAAAGAAAAGAAGCATCAGATTTAAGGAGTATTGAGAGAAAAAAGATGAGTTTGACTTCATATGTTCAGTGAGAATATTGAACCTAAAATTCAGGAGAACTCTAAAGATGGTGTTGAAAAAAAAGTAGAATAAATTTTTTTTGAAAGATTAGCATAGTTTTCTAAATGTTTCTTCCCCATGGTAAACTAAAAGTGATCTCCGATGTCCAGATTATTTGCAGTAATGTGCGTCTTTTAGTTGAATACCTTTCAGTATTCTCTCTAGGCTCTTCTTACCATTCCAATGCCTAAGGGTATTTCTCTAGTTGGCTGGCTGACTGTTTGATACTATTTGACTTAACGGGACATTCCAGACTGGGGAGACTGCAAGGAGGAGGAAACCATACAAATAGGCACTGGTCCACACTTTCTTACTTCCCACTGAAGAAACGTGGCCTTGATAATGGACCAAGAAGCCAGTGATAGCCAGAGCTCAATTCCATGTATATACTACAGAGAGCAGAAAGAGTTGGCTATAAAGAGTATGGCAAATACAGAAGTGAGCTATCAGTGCTGATGTTCTGAATACTTACTCCTAAAATGCTTAAAATGTCAGACATTTCTTTTTAAATGTATATTTAGCACTTTCCTCTTGAATGGTTTATAGTAATTTCTAGTACAAAATCTTGTCTACTACATTTCAATCTGGCATGGTTTGCAGATTGAAAATAAACAGAGGAAAAGTCCACTGTTTCTCACTGAGGTGTATTCTTGAAGTGAAATTGGCTTCGATAAGCTTTCCACAAACACAGCCTTGTGCCTTTGCTTTTATGTTATGCTTCATGCCTTGGTCATCAAAAAGCACCCTTGGGAAGGATATAGTAACTGATTCGAGCAATTAGAAATATCAGTAAAATAATTTCACACTCAGACTGACAGATTTGAAGTGAATCATCTCATTTTAATATGGCATTTGTCTATTTGTTTCTAGTTACATAATTATTGTACACATTTATAGGGTACATGTGATATTTTGATACATGAGTAGATTATGTGACAAACATGTCAAGACATTCCAGATACCCATCACTTCAAACATTTATTATTTCTTTCTTTTTTTTTTTTTTATTTAGACAGAGTTTCACTCTTGTTACCCAGGCTAGAGTGCAATGGCGCGATCTTGGCTCACTGCAACCTCCGCCTCCTGGGTTCAGGCAGTTCTCCTGCCTCAGTCTCCCAAGTAGCTGAGATTATAGGCACGTGCCACCATGCCCAGCTAATTTTTTTTTGTATTTTTAGTAGAGACAGGGTTTCACCATGTTGACCAGGATGGTCTCAATCTGTTGACCTCGTGATCCACCCGTCTCGGCCTCCCAAAGTGCTGGGATTACAGGCTTGAGCCACTGCGCCTGGCCAACATTTATTATTTCTTTGTGTTGGGCACAGTTCGTATTTTGCCTTCGAGCTGTTTGGAAATGTACACTATATTATTGCTCACTATGGTCACCATACTCTGCTATCAAATATTAGAAGATTTTTCTTCTAACTGTATCCTTATATCCATTGACTAGCATCACTTCATCCTTCCCTCCATACACCCCCTTCCTGGCCTCTAGTAACTATCATTCTTATATGTCAATTCTTAAAAAAAAATACTAAATCCCATGTCATTTGTTACAGACAGTTCGTAGTAAAAGAAAAAAAATGCATATAACAGTTATAAAGTGTTTGTGTAAAATATATGTGTAGGTGTATTTTTTAGTCATAGCATCTTTTTATTCTTGCTATGTAATCTTTATGTATTTACCCAAATCCTCACTCATTTACTCTGTCTGTGCGTGCCTCAGAATATGACCTGGAACCGTGTGATGATCCTGGAGTCCCTGCCTTCAGCCGAAGAATTGGTTTTCACTTTGGTGTGGGAGACTCTCTGACATTTTCGTGCTTCCCAGGATATCGCTTAGAAGGTGCAACCAAGCTTACCTGCCTGGGTGGGGGCCGCCGTGTGTGGAGTGCACCTCTGCCAAGGTGTGTGGGTAGGTGGTCACACGCTTTCATTTCATTCATCCATGGGGGCAGGGCATAGCCCGGGCAAGAAGCCCAGGGTGGTCGGGTGGGGTCGGGGGTGTTTACAAGGAAGGAGAGGGTGAGAGTGTGGGCCCCACACCTGAAGTCAGGGGAGAAGGAAGCTGCTTAACTACTCCTGGCTTGAATTATGTTATCTATAATGTAAGTCCCTTTCAGCTCTGATATTTTATGATTGAAGAATAGTGAAACCAAAGCATGTGTCAAGCATATTGATGAAGGGAAAAAATATATTGTAGAGAGAGAAAACCTGGAATAAAAGAAAAAAGCGAAAGATAGAAGCCAAGCTAGAATGTCACAACCACTGACAATTATATTGATTGAAAGCAGCAAGTGTCCTTGGTATAGCGATGGTGACAGTTCTGTTTTTGTTGTCAGTTGTACACTTTGACTGGATGATGGTTGCACACTCCTGCTCAGTGAGCATGATGGGCATTTGAATGCTGAGTTTGCTTTTCCAGTGCAGTGTGTTCTGGAGGAATCCAAGAGATAATTCCAAAGAGTAACGTGAATTTTTATTTCGGTACTTTGAAATGAGGTACTAGGGTTACATGCAGGAATTGGCTTGCTGATCCAGGGGGTAACGTTTATTGGCCATCCGGGAACTGTGCTACTCTGAGAAGTTTAGCAAAGGAGAATCATGACTGCTGTCATAGCTCAGATAGCCTGTGTTGGCCACACAGCCAGAGCTCTCGTAGTCAGCCATCCAGACTAGGCCTCGTTCCTGCCATCCAGCCATGTTGCTCAGCAGATGCCGTCTTACAGATTGTTCCTTAAAGTTACAAAACCTGACTAATGTCATTGTGAAGAAAACAGGGAGGTAAGAGAATGACCATGCCTTGACACTGAGCCTTCTGAGTCCATGGAGAGTCCAGAATACGAACCACACTAATTTAACCAGTTAACGAACCGGAGGCAGGTGGGGAGGTCTGAAAACAAAATTCAATAATCCCTATAATCACTTAGTGTAACTTGTTTTATTTTACTGTGGTTCAGAATCTCTTTAGTTTTTGGTGTTGCTTAGGAATATCATGTACCTCAAGCGATAGAGCTGTCATTTTGGATTTTAGTGAGCCAGAGATACATAGCCAGAATTTCATTAATTAAAAAAAACAAATAAACATGAATCAAATCATCTCTGTCTCTATCCAAAACATGTGTCTATACATTTTTACAATATGTTTTTCTCCTTAAAAAAAAATGGTGGTTCTTACTTTTTATGGTTATAATATTTGCTTGAGAATAGAATGCAAATTTTGACTATTATCTCTAGAAAACAAGATATGGTATTTTGCAGATGATCTTAGTAGTTCCCAGAGTTGGCTAGAGTCTATTCTAGAGACTCCTAATTGAAATCATTTGAAATCTGAACAAACCCCCAATTCAGTGAAATCAAAGTGGTATCTAGATGTGTAACAGTAAGTAGTCTACTAATTATAATAAAAAGACCCATTAAATGTTCTTCTATTTCATCTAGGTTCACCATCTTAAAGCTGTTTTCCTTGTCATTTAGATTTTTACTCTGTGGTCTAAAATATGAAATAATCAGTAACTAGAGTTGGAAGAATAGTTAATATTTACTAAGCACTTTATGGTAGACCAGGCACTGTGCGGGCTCCTTCCATGACATCTCTATGAAGTAAACGCTATGATTGACAGTTCCCTTTTATAGATGGAAATATTAAGGCAAAAAGACTCTACGAATTTTGCCCAGAGACACCGAGCTAGGAAGACTCGAACCCAGGGAACATGAAACGCAGCCTTTAACCACAGCACTGGACAGGGAAACAGAGGGCCCAGGGCAGGCCTTTTTTGTATTTAGCTTTTTGCATTTTGCCTACAGTTTTGTGATTTTTCTTCCAGCCCTTCTGGTGCATTTGGGTGCTGTCTTCATTTCTTTCTCTCTCATTCCCCACACCTGCTTACCTCCGAGTTCTGAAGGATTCTGCCCACTGCCAAGCTCTCAGGTCAGGATACTCCTTCTTGCCCTCCCAGCCCCAGCTCCCTCCAGGAACCCCCTTCCATCTGATGGTTCCCTAGACTCCCCAGATCCCACCAGCCCCAGGGGCTACAGCTCCCAGAATGCTCTCTCCACAGTGAAAACCCCACCAATTTTTCCCACTGCAACAGCCTGGTCATTGCTTCCCCTGCTATTCAGATCACTCTTCCTCCACACTGTCCTGGCTCAGAGTTCCTCGTTCACTGGCTCTCCAAAGTGGACTCAGTGCTCAGCCAGCATCCTTGTGGTGACAGATGGAGCCCTCTCAGGCCCCCGGAGCACCAGTGCTCTTTCTATAAGGTTGGTGCAAAAGTCATTGCAGTATTTGCCAATTTGCCATTAGGTTTTTTGTTGTTGTTGTTTATTTCATTTTGTTTTGTTTTTTTTTTTAAGATGGAATGTCACTCAGTCACCCAGGCTGGAGTTCAGTGGTGTGATCTTGGCTCACTGCAACCTCCGCCTCCTGGGTTCAAGTAATTCTCCCACCTCAGCCTCCCAAGTCGCTGGGATTACAGGTACCTGCCACTATGCCCAGCTAATTTCTGTGTGTGTGTATTTTTAGTAGAGACGGGGTTTCACCATGTTGGCCAGGCTGGTCTCGAACTCCTAACCTTAGGTGATGTGCCCACCTCTACCTCCCAAAGTGATGGGATTACAGGCACTAGTTGTGTCTAATTTAATCTGCAGGCTGCTCCCTCCTTTAGATCAACCACCCTGCTCTCCTCTCCGGTGGCTCTCTGTTTCCAGCTCCCCTGTAGTGTTCCCTTTCTCTACCCGCTTGCTCCCAGGCTGTAGGGCGAGCCTGCCTCCCTGGCAGGTGTTGGACTCACTCCAGTTGACTTCATCTCTTTGTCTCCCTCCTCAGACTGACAGCCCCTTTACAGCGGGTGCCTCCTCCCTAAGATCTAGTTCTGTGTATCCAAAAAAGGAAAAATTACTTTCCTCGGAAGCTTCTCTTTTGATCTCAAAAATTTGATTCATCCATACTTCATGTTTCTTTCTCTAAAATTATAGAAATAAAAATGATTTGCCTGTGGCAGAAAGAGGCAAATCCACACCAAAGGTTGCAGGTTTCACATAAGGAAGGTCGGCTGAGTCAGAAGCATGCTGTCTTAGCCTCCCTAATAAATGTCTGACCTTACATGGAATTTCTAGTGAGCATCTGAGCTGAGAACTGTTTTCCTCTTTATCAAGTCATTCTTAAATGAAAGAGATGGAGCCTTTTTTATTTGTGTTTCTTCAACCTGATTATGGATTTAGGATGATAGAAATAATATCATATATACCTTGGGTATGCAACCTCATTAGAAATGCTCAAACCTTCTCTGCTGGCACCTACTGTTCATCTGTATTATACATATATTATTCAGGAAAAATTTCACTTAGAAGTTAGAGAAAAGTTACCTACATTGGCTTTAGTCAAAATGAAAGTTTATTAGTCAGATGATATAAAGTCCATACATAGGGAGAGCTTCAAGTGAAGTTTGATCAAGGGTTCAGCCTTGTCATCAAGAACCTGAGGTCTCAGCATCTCTCAGTTTTGCCAACCTAAATAAAGCACTGGGTGGCTTCCTGATCTCATACTATCACATACAGTGCTGTAGCCCCACATCCTGCCGCCCCATGGAAACAGCTGTGCCAAGATTGCTTATGTATAAGTCCTGGGCTTCCTGTCATGAGCCCACATAAAGTCCCATGGCTGTTCCTGAGCAGTCACTGTGGCCAGGGCAGCCATGATTGTCTTAGTACCTTCACAATTGCATCTGCAAATAACAAGTGAATATTTTGTGATGTTTTGGATATTTTGTAGCATTTCGTTCAAAAGAGCAGGAGCAGAGTTAGAGAGCAGATATGATGGAGATAAATGTTTGCTACAGTTCTGTAACCTAATATTGCATCTATGACATTTCAGAATTACCTGATCAAAAGCTTCTCAGACAGGGCATTAAAGTCACGTAAACATCAGCACAAACTCTAAATGCCTATCTAGTGAGAGAAGTTTTTTTTAAATGCATGAAAGTGAGATATATCCTCTTATTGATTAACTGTATTAACTCTATTTGCTTGACAAAGTAGAAAGTCACTGGGTGAAATGAAAAAAGAAAAAACAACACTCTTAGCCTCAATTGTTTAATGGATTACAAGTTATTTCCAGCAGGCATAGTAAAACAAAATATCTTGCCTGTATTTTAATTTAATTTATATTTAGTTTAACACTAAATGATACATATATAATTATATATAATAATTACACACACACACACACACATATAATTTCTCTGTAGTTCTTTAATTTGGGGTTTAAAAGCTTGAAACAATGCTCTAAACTAAAATGTTAGCTTCTGTTGCTTCTTAAGAGCTAATCCAATAATGACATTAAATTGTAAAAATAAAGGTTTAAAAGATAATGGGTGAAAAATAGTACCATTTTGTGAAATTCTTAGATATTCTTTGTGAGTAAATATGGGATTGCATGGGGTTTTTATAGACTTATGGGAAAGGTTTACTTTGAACTTGGTTTAAAGGAGAAAGGTAGTTTTTTGTGCCTCTGTTTCTTAGTTGAGCTGTTTTCTATTTCTGTGCTTTTTAAATAAAGCTTCTAAAACACAGATACCTGCATATTAATAGTTTTCCCAATTTCACAATGCCCACAAAAGCCCCACAGCAATTTCCTAGTTTTACTAACCACAGCCATACACCTCGACTTCCAGCTATTATGTTAAGAAACATCTGGCGGGTGGATCATGAGGTCAAGAGATCGAGACCATCCTGGTCAACATGGTGAAACCCCGTCTGTACTAAAAATACAAAAAATTAGCTGGGCATGGTGACACATGCCTGTAATCCCAGCTACTCAGGAGGCTGAGGCAGGAGAATTGCCTGAACCCAGGAGGTGGAGGTTGTGGTGAGCCGAGATCGCGCCATTGCACTCCAGCCTGGGTAACAAGAGCG